TCTGGAATAAATTTATACACCTTTGGTTAATGTATTTTCTACAAAGGTGCCAACATTATTCAATGGTAAAGAATAGTGTAGAAAGAATCTACATATATAAGAATAAATTTAGACTTTAAAACTCTATTAAAAAGTTAAAATGAACCAACAACATGAAAATAAGAGCTCAATATTTAAAACTCTTAGATGAAAACAGGTATAAAGCATCTTTATGATGCATTTAACTTGAATTTGAAAACAGTTTCTTAAATTGACAGCAGAAGTACAAGTAACATAAAAATAATAAAAAAACCTTATGCATCAAGGGACCTTATTAAAAAATTGCTGAGACAATCTACAGAGGAAAATATTTGCAAAATATATATCTGATAAAGCTTTGTTGCAGTTATGTGCTGTTGTGTTGGAAGTAACTGATAGCTGACCCTCCAGTGCATTTTCAGAGGCTATAAATCACCTGCAACAAGATTTTTGATCTTTCTTTTCAGGAGCAGCTGGTGGATTTGAACTGCCTACTTCAGGGCTATTCTTTGGAGAAGGACGTGATGCTGGGAAGGGTGGAGGGTTGACAAAGGAGAGGAAGACCCTCAACCAGGTGGATTGACATGGTCACTGTTGCAATGGGCTCTTGTGTGTCAGGAAGTGTGAGGATTGTACAGGATAGAATAGGGTTTAGATCTTTTGTTCATAGGGTGGCTATGAGTTGTGCTCAACTCGATGGCACCTAACAACCACAACTACCATCTCTGGGTTTGTCAGAATAACTCCTTACCCATTAGTCTACCAGAGCTCCCTGACTGAGGTCAACTGTCCATAATGTATATTTTAAAAGCACCAAACTCTTACATTTAAGAACAACAAAGAAAAGAGAAATTAAAAATGAACAAGGAACTTTAACAGACATTTTCCCAAAAAAGATACACAAAAAGCTGATGATCACACGAAAATATTCTTAGTATCATCTGACATTTGGGAGGTACCATCAAAAACACACAGAATATTTCACCCCCACAAAGTTGATAATAATAATAATGAAAGTAACCCAAAATGTAGAAAGTAATAAGTCTCATCTAAAGTGTAGATAAAGTGAAACTCTTTAACACTGTTAATGAGATTATGTAACAGTGCAGCCAATGTGGGAGACAGTGGCTGTTTAGCAAAAAGTAAGCATAGACTTATCCTGTGACCCCGTTATTCCACTCCTAGATATAAATACTAAAGAACTGGAAATAGCTTTTCCAACTAACATGCATTTTTAATGTTCATAGTAAGACTTTTCACAATAACCAAATATATAAAATATATGTGCAATGGGATCTTACTCAGCCATAAAAAGTACTACAGTGTGGATGACTGTAAAAAATACTATGTTGTTGTTGTTGTTATGTGCCGTCGAGTCGTTTCCGACTCATAGAGACCCTATGCACAACAGCCCTAAACCCTGCTCTATCCTGCGCCAACC